GATATCTCGGTTAATATTGACTGTAGAAAATTGCTGTTTGGACTGATCTTATTATTTTTAGCTAATCTACAGGAATCAAGCATCGAAAAACGATTCTGTGACCAGCGCAACTGACCCATTGACTCGATCCACCGTATGCGGCATACGGAGAGATGCATCGAAATTGCACGGAGCTAATTTTATGTGCGCTTCACTGGGAAAAAAACACACAGGATCTAGAGTCCAGACTCTTAATAACATCGACAAGAAAAGATACTCTTGTTTCAATCGGATTTTTGCTTAAATCATGAACCGAGCCTCTTGATTTGAGCGGATTTCCTTTTGATTTAAGCTTTTGATTGAATCAAGAGTATTTTTTCTTGTCAATGTTTTCAAGAGTCTGGACTATAGATCCAATGTGTTTCTTTTTCCACTGCTCTGTGGTTTCGCTATGGGAATGTGACGAGAAAGGCCATGTTGTGCGGCAGCAGAGCCACAAGCCACCGGACGGCAGCGGAGTGATGATAGCTGTTAGCTGTGCCCGAGGAGTCTTGTCGCTGGAGTTACCGCCTTCATGAATAAATTTTGCGTCCGCGGGGTAATGTCCTCGTTTACGCGCCCTTCATCTTATTTGCATCGGTGTGAACCGCGACGAACAGAAACTAAACGCTCTTTAGCATTTTTTTCTCGGTTTGTTCAGAAATATTCGGGAGATCCGTTCGCGTCTGTCTCTCTCCATTCCACTAAAGCCATTCTGGTGTTACATTGGTGTTACATAATGCACTATGTTAACACTTTATCGGCACTATAAACAAAACCCAAGACAGGGATAGTTTAATACAAATTTTTCTAAATACCGACCAGAACAACTTACTTGTTACTTGTACTCAAAACCAAGATGGTCATTCGGGCAGTTGATTCATTTTGATGCATTGTTAATATGTTACAGTGGCTTGGGTTTGCTTATTCTTCTCGCTAAAAATGATCGTGGTTATGAAGCACCTCTAACAAGTGTCACATCGTAGCGTGAAGCCAAATGGAATTAAAAATATTTAACTGTTATTAATGCTTATTTATATTGTAACGTCCGGTCCATACGTATAAAAGTTTTGTCAAAACACTTGTGACAGATATCTTGCTTTTCCGCGCCTCTTTAAATTTTTCGCAAGTGCTTTCATTAATTATTGCATATTTTTCTCGCTGAACTCCCGATTTTATCTGTTTACGCCAACGGTGTAACTGTGTTCTGTTTTGCAAAGCTGCAAACCCACGCTGCCGCAAATTTTTAATAGTCCAATTAGAATGCGCATTAGCAATGGCAAAGATTTATTTTTTCACATCCAAAGATACAAGCCGCGCACCACTTCTTTCCATGTCTAAACCGACACCAGAATCTTCTATTGATAGTTCATCTTCTGTGTCAACTTCCATATCATCACAGTCACTTCCCGCGTCTGATTTGCACTCATCACTCTTCTTTCTCGATCACTCTCCTCGTTCTCATCGAAAAATATCGTCTCTTCTTTAAATTCGTAATTTTCAATAATTTCTACAAAGCATTTTGCAAGTTCATGGCCCAAGAGCTGCCCTTTTTTTGAACAAGTTTCGCGACTCATCCAATCAGGACATAACTCTCACGAAATATTTTTTCGCATAAGAGAAACCCATCTGCAATGTCCTGGCTTGAAGATACAAGAGCTGCCCTTTTTTTGAACAAGTTTCGCGACTCATCCAATCAGGACATAACTCTCACGAAATATTTTTTCGCATAAGAGAAACCCATCTGCAATGTCCTGGCTTGAAGATAAATCGCGTTTACAATCGAACTCACGGCTACACGATGTACGGTATTCCATAGCGACATCCGAAAATGATTACTCGTAGGTACAAGGCCCCCTTATTGGTTTCGGAGAAACGTTTCTATGTTCCAAGACAATTAAAATGCGTAGAAGGACTTGTACCCTTTTTTCCGATTCCTGTGGCCACTTCGCCGCTGAATATCTCTTGCTCCTCTTCGGCGAGCGTTGTGAACTCCTGAATGATAGGTTCAGGAACCTGCGTGTTATTTGTGAAGGCATCTGAAACACGCATACTAATTACTACAAAAGCAAAGTATAAGCTGATGCAAAATGGTAGCTGTTACACCCCAAAGAGGAATTATATCTGGGTTTAAGAATTTCGAGCCCGGCCGTGGACCAGGACGGTCCTCATTGGGTCTCCAATGCAGTGTTGTTTTCTAGTTGGTTTTTTGTTTGTTTTTTTTTTTATTCTTTTGTTTTTTTTTTTTGGGACATGATATTTCATTAGAGAACATATAAGTTTAAAGCAATATTGACAGTCATTGGCACGAAGGCCTAAATAGTACATTCTAATAGAAAGGAAGAGTATAAAACAGAAAGATGAATGATATCAAAGTTAAAAAGAGAGTAATATACATGAGATGATGAATGATATATAATTATAATTATACTTTAGGTTAAGGTTATGTCACCGGTATCGCCTTGAGGCACTTCTTCGGTATGTTGGGGTGACGGTTGCGACAGATGAGCCCTTAATGTCTTTTTCTATGGTAATACACTGTTTGCACAAATTGGCTGATGGTCTGCCAATTATTTGTTGAAGAAAGCTTAAAATCAACAGCAGCGGAGGCTTCTAATTTATATGATGTTTTTATTTCCAAATCATAGCGTAGATGTGCAAAGGCAGAACTTTTCTAGTGGCGGCAATGTCGTTTTTGATTTTGAAGAAATCTGGGACGATGTCAGTAAATACCACGACGGGCCGGGAACTTTTTGGATATGTTCTCAAGTCGCATTACCGCATAAGAGTTAAAAATCTGAAAACCTCCGAGCAAGAAGAAGGCGGAAAAAACGAATTGAATGAATTAAAAAAAAAAAAAAAAAAAAAAACTCTGAGCCTTCATAATCTTCAGAGCGCTTCTAAAATTTTGTCGCGACCTCGCGGTCGAGAACAGCTTGCGCACCTCCGCACGAAGATATCTTCCTCAATAGCCCTTGACATTCATCTAGACAAAGTGAAACACCAAAACATCAGGAAATGAATCTAAATCTCAGATCAAAACCCAGACGTTTCGGTTACCTGTGAAAACTTGACCAGCATCAAACCGGAACGTAATCGTAGGTTTTTACTTTCGATCAATCGATTGGGTAATTGCTGGTGGATTCAACCGAAACATCCCGGGGTTCACTTTTAAAACTTTAGTACGGTCCTCTGCGTCAATATTGACCGTATTAGAGACGAAGTCATTTTTAGGTATAATCGCAGTGGAGCTCAACCACATCAGCTATTAACCCGCAAACCGGTGGAAAAATGTGGACATTTTGTGCGATATCTGACAACGCACGATCCCGGAAGGAGCTCGGAAGCTTACTGTTCACTGCTTAGTACCCACCTCCAGTCATAAAAATATCAATTCACTGAATTATGTCAACAGCCAGCTCGACACCCCCAAGTTCTCCCGAACCTAGGCACCCCATTACCCTCCCCCCTCTCTGCGCCGCCGCTCGCTGCCGTCCGATACGAGTTCCTCACTCAAAGGATATCCGTTGTGCGCCGCCATTTACATGATTAAGCTCTCTCACGCCTTCCAAAGTCCCCGCTTTTGGCAGTAGTGGCTGGCTTCACTAAGTTTATGGTCGCCGCCTTTTTTTTCCTGTTTTGCGGTAGCTCGGCGCAAAGTAGATGCAGCGGCTGAGCGGCGTACGTCTTGTGGTCTTTGTCGACCCGGTGAGAAGGAATTATCGCACCTTACGAATCCGAAATCCCGAAATTTAGCACGCGATAAAACCTGACTCGTAACATTGATCTCTTGGAAATGTTTGGTCCATCCTTACGCCCTTTCGACTCAGGGTTTCAATCTGACTTGTCTTTTTGTGAAATCCCAAATCAACTTTTCAAAAAGCTGCGTGCCTTTTCGTTTCACGTGGGGTTCGCTCAATGGGAATTCAGAAAAATCATTGTGTCGTTCATTCCAAGATCATGAGCAGCGAAGATAGAGGGGGAGCACTTTCCCTCAAAAATGAATGTTTGTGATTTTCAGGAAACTTCTACCTTTAGATCCCCTTCCTTATGAGCAATTTTTAACCCGAAACTCCGACCCCCCCCCCTCACTTTTCTTCCTACGAAAATTTGTTGGCTACGTCACAGTGAGACCCCTTTCCTAAGAAATTGTTTTTTACTGAAGACGCCCTCCTCCCTATGAAAATGTGTCGGCCAGGTCGCTGTGAGTAGCCATAAGAGTCAGGAGATATCAGCAGTAATAAGCTTAGTCTCCTTAATCAATAAATTATCAGCGAAATCTAAATCTCGCACCTGTATGATAATCTGGTGTTTTAAACAAAGGTCGTGATGTCAGCAATAGTGTCCAATCAGAATAATCCGAGACAGAATAATACGGGTGCACCCTCAAGTTCACTCTCCCGTCGCCCGTGCTGCGGTTCCAGAGAAAAATTAGCCGGCCCGAGTTTTTTGCAGCGCTCTGTATAAACGAAGTAGCAACAATTTTATAGTAGGAAAGCTTCCAATCTCCCCGCTCGCCCTGCTCTGTCTTGTTTTTTACTCTGTATACCAATACGATTGCTTTCTGAACAAAATACAGCTGATGAATTCGGTTTTCAATGCCCATGTTGACATGTGATCGGGAAAAAGAATTTATTTTCCACTTCCGGTAACGTGTGAGCATATAAGTCAAGTTGCATCTGCCCTTTCTTTCGACTACATGTTCTTACGTTAAAGTAGCTTTGAAAGCCTAGGAAAATAAATCTAACTTAACATCATTTGAAATTATTATTTTCTTTGGTAATGTATGTTCTAAAAAGTTTATTTTTTGTGCTCGCTAAGTTCTCACCGGAAATTTTAGCTTTTTTCTTCGATCAACGTTCATCCAACTGATCTTTTCTTACTCGCATTTCTGGGTGACGATGCTAAAATTTGACAACACCGGCTCTTTCCTATGAAAGAAAAATTAAAAATCGGCGGCCTATTTTAAGGTTATAATTTCTTCAGTCAGTTTGTGTAGTTTTGTCAGAGCGGCGTATACTACGTCTCATTAATATTGTTGCAAATACTAGTGTTCAAGTTCGGTGTGTATTTTCCGCAGTCTTGAACGTCGTAAGGAACGTCCTCGAGACAGTCAAGTAAGTGAATAGTAAATTTGTACCATCTTTACATACAATTTGATCCGGACTTAATATCAGCCAGTACCATAATGCCATTAATTTCAAGACAAAGAATAATCTAAAAAATTAGAGTTTTAGAGGGGTTAGGAATATAACAATTTCGTCTCATAGGTATTATGTGTTTTATAAGAAATCCGTCAGTCTTGGCTTGTGGTTAGCCAGGTATAGCACTAGAATAGGGCGCACCAGATGCCAAAGGCTTGTAGTATTTTCCCCACCTCAGGATATGGCGAATTTTTTGGCCGCATACCAGGTTGACAGTATAGGATGTGCTATTTTTTCTATCGTAGATTGTGTACGTGTATTTCTCGTTGTAATGAATGAAATAACGGAAAATGTCCCTTCCCCGCTCTTTTGATCAAGTTTTAACAGCCGTGAAATTGAGACGATGGGAAACAGATAAGTGTGCTTATCTTTTCTTTTTATCCTCATCCAAGTTTCAGATGAGATGATGCTGCATGGGGAAAACTTTTTCTCCCCCGCCCTCCTCCCCGGGCCCCATCTATCCACCAATTTGTCCTTTTCCTCGTTCTCGTAACAATCCAAGCACCACTCCATCCACCTCGTCCTCCTCGTGAACTTCGCCTCATCAAGATGAGAATCCTGCTAGTTTTTTCTTCTTTGTCCGCCTGGGCATTTGTATCCATTCGTTTATTTTCGAAAAAAGGAACAAAATACGCAACATATCTTATTACTGGTCTCGAGGCTTGAATTGAGTCACAATTTCGACAGGGACAGCTTTTTTGCACATATTTGCTCATTCCATTATTTGCACTTCACTTCGCAAATTAGGGACCAAAATTTGTGGCTCATCCGTAGAAACACGTATGTACCTAGAGAAACTAATGGACGTACGTTTTTTTTTTTTTTTTTATTAAACTGAGCCAGAAATTGAAGCGTTGGGTGCAGACAAGGCATATACTGGTTGCAATGTCTTATAATTACCGCTTACGTTTCATTCATTATAATTAATTCAAATTTGTGGATATCGTTGAAACTTTTTCTGAATTTTCTCTTAGCTCTCACAATGCTGAAAACGAAAAATTCAAACGATTCACTTTATAGTTTCCTCCTTAAATTATTATTAGCGGTGGAGATTCTGAAATACCGCAACCAGGAAATGCCCTCTCTGCACTCAACGTCTCAATTTTAGTTCCAATTTACTGTATTTAGTCAGTTTTATTTTTTGTGCAACCGATTTCGCTGTGTTAAATAATAATTATTCAAGGAACCTTTCATTAATTTCACGATTCATTCACGTTCGCATATTTTAAAGAAGATATTGCTCGGCATTTTTACCTCCTCGTTTTTTTTTAATAGGCATCACATAACATACTAAAGTAGGAAGTCTTGATTTACGACGGTATTGAGTCACACTTAAACTATTTTCAATTATTTGGCTCTTCGGCGAGTAGATTTACCTTTCTAGAGTTCAATGACTAATTCCTAGGTCCAGATTCTTTGAAACAAGGTTGACACTTTTTCAGTGACTTCTTTAACTGTCAGAGCTCATACGTGTGTATTCAACTAGGAATGTTTTAAGCAATAAAGTGGGATTAATGATATTCTTTTTTCGCCGGATCTGAAATTTTGTCATCATCGTGACGTATTGAGACAATCAAGGAATTGCCAATTTTGCATGGCGTTCACCGAGAAAGAAGATTCGTAGAATTTACCATTCTTTTGATTGCTCCTCAGCCTCTTGTTATCTAATAATATCAAGAACAGAGAAAGGATTACTCAAGGATCAAAATCGTAAACCAATTTTAAAATCCAGCCCATGAGATGCATGCACTGAAAACAAATTCTCGGCGTTTTTACGAAGGTCCATTGGTACCTTTACCATCTCACTTTTTTTTACCAATTATTGGTGTGATGCATAAGGGCATTATCATGCACCACTTGGCACTAGCATCACCCACCACTCATCGCTCATTAGCACCGGTCTAAATATACGCTGGACTACACCAGCCCTCAGGCTGGACCATCGCATATTTAAGCCCGATGCAACTGATCGATGGGGACTTATCCCATCTCAACTTATCTCGTGTCACCTTCGGATTTCCACAGAGTCACTCTTGCATCCCCTGTGTGGCCGCGCCGAGGTTGTTCGGAGTTCCGTTGCACTTGCACTCTGTGTTTCCTCACTCCATTCCCTTTTTTAGCGTTGCCGACCCTTTTCCCAGGGCCCGCATCACAATTGGTAATTTTACCAAGACAGACTGGTAAGCTTACCTAAAAACCGGTATTTTTACTGTTTTTTCCAGGTAAGAATACCACTTTTATTGGTAATCAATTCCCGGTAACTTTGCCATTTTATCTCGGTAATTCTACCACAGTCGATAAAAAATATTGGCGTTTTTACCGGGGTCCAGTAAAATTACCGAGAAAGTCACTAATTTTACCGAGATCTCTCGGTAAAATTACAAATTCCATAAATGGTAATTTTACCAAGAAAAAACTGGGATCAAATAGAACCCTGAATTCTTGGTAATTTTACCCTTTTCTTAGTAAATACACCGAGATTTTTTTTTCAGTGTGGAAGTTCATCGGAATGTTTTCAGTTGGATCGTGTAACATAGCCTAAGTTTTCAATGCATCTGAACGAATTCCATCACTTGGCAACGTTGGGTTTTATTAAATGATTGAAGAGCCAAATTTTGAGGAGGATGGAGAAGAGAAGGTAGCACGAAAAAGTTGCCGATACTTGACGACTCTCTCGAACGACGCGGAATAATTAGAGGGAAATTTCAATATTTAAGAGTGAATAAGGAGAAAAGTTGCGATTAACTCGCTTGAGCGGGGCGAAAAACGTTCGCGCCTTCGCGCAAATGAAACTTGGCCAACATTCGGCGCTCAGCTGATGTTGCACCAACTTGCTCGTGCAGCAACTTCGGTCGTCGTGAAATTAAAAATATTAATAAAAACAGAGAGCAGACGAAGAGAGCCAGTCAAAAAAGATGCGGGCAGGTTTGGGAACCAAGAGAGACAGTGAATGCCGACAGGAACAGGAGCGGAGAGGATGGAAGAAAGTGCAGATCGTCCGATTTATTGAGGCTCGAGTTTTGAATGGAGCTCTCTATCCTTGTCTTTCGCTTTCTCTCAATGTGGAGTCTCTCTCTTGTTTATTTGGAGTAATTGAACCCGGAAAAAGTGGAGTTTTTGAATTGACTGAAAGTGCCTCGGTTTCACGTTTTTAAACTCGTGCAGCATTTAGGTCACCTGAATCAAATGTCTTTTAGCTCGAGCTACTCTCGCAGAACCACTCGCCGGACTGGTGAAGCAATTCAATTACGTATCTGTATGTCTTTATTTAAACTTCGATAAATACTTCCTGTAACAAATGTTTTCAGAGGAGCAAAAGGTATACTCAATAAAGTCACATAGTTTCTCGTTTTTTTTTCCGTGAGCTCAAAAGTAGCCCCTTAATATCATTTTAAAGAACCATATTTATCGTCGTTTCAACGAAACACTGATTCTATTCTTACCCCTCTCTCTGTCTGAACTGAAATGTAGATTTATATGTTTAAAAATTATGAAAACTAGAGAGGTGTTGACAGAAAAAAGAGAGTGGAGAGTGGGATGTGTTCATCATGCCAAAGCAAAATCCGAGGCTGTCGGATGAGTGGTGAAAAGGAAGGGGGGGGGGGGGATTTTCCCAAGGAGCGCGTAACACAGTGTGATTTTGGGTGGGCACCTCTCACGTAACACGTGTTAATATGACAGCTTACACAGTGCATACGATCTGACATCGAAAAATGAAGGGAGGAAAGTTGTTCAAACCGCAAGCCTGAGTGGTTTTCCTTCAATTTGCAGAATACACACGAGCGCACTGGTTGGGGCTATGCATCAGTTTTCCTACGACCCCCTCCGATGGCCCCACGCTCGGATGGTATCCGCCGAAAATGAAGGCGAAACTTTTCCCCACTCTTACGACGAAGTTGTTTTCTTCATTACTAAGTCAGTTTACCTGTTTTCCTTTCAAAACTCGAGTGGATGCCTCGCCGTTGTTTCCTCCACTCGCGTAATGCATCCGAGCATTTTCGCTCGGTGGGCTTGTTTAAGAGCTTAAGAGAAAGGACCCAAACAATGTAAATATACGACTCGTGTGTATCCACTGTTGCTGTCTGCGAAAAAAATTGTAAGCTCCGCACACGACTTTAAACTATCTTAGACGCGTTTTCCAGTTTTTTTTTTTCCAATTTCACAATTCCTTCTCAAAATTCTACGAAGAATTGCACGACCGCGAATTCTTAGTATTTAGATTCCTGTAATGCAAGTTTCATGTGCAATGGAAGTCTCCACGTTTAATATCAACGGAGATATTGCCCCTTCTGAAAACACGGTGCGTGACAACATCATCAACCGCGATGGTGCATACCATGGTTTCTCCCACCTTGGTTAAGTCGCGTTTTAAGTCAAGCAACCGGTGATAATAAATGAATATCTCAACGGATGGATTTACGGTGGATGCGTACCACGATATGTACCACCGCGATGGTTTACGTCATACAGTGCGAAAAACGAAATCATCGTTAGTATTGGGCGAATGAATTATACGTATGTACTCATCATTTTATTATTGCTGATCTTGTACACTGGTAAAAAAAACCTCTTGGACCAATGCCGCATTGCATTGACTTAAGAGTGCAGTTTCTTATTGCCGGATTTAGAGTCTTGAACTCTTGTTTCAAGCGGATTTTGCATTGAAACAAGAGTCCAGACTCTTAAATCCGGCGACAAGAAACTGCACTCTTGAACCAAGAGGATTTTTTTTACCAGTGTATGCTTAAACCATCAAAACGCGATTCTGTGAATCGCACAACGGCCCTACATTTTGGAATCAGGAACTACAATTTCTGGCTCAGTTTAGAATTATCCTATCAGTTTCCCCAAAAATTGTAGTTCCTAATTGCAAAATGCAGTGCAACTGGCCCACTGGATCTGTTTCGGTCTTT